TCAGAATTCTTTCAGATCAATCTGCCATATTGAAGTAGTCACTGCCTTTAATCTCCCTATTTTACCCTTACAATCAGATTGAAAAATTTACTCAAATGTCTGCCTTATTTTAACCTTACCCAAAATCTCCCTTTTCCAATAGAGAATGGGGCACCGAAGAAGTGGCAATCGGACTTGTTCCTCATAAAACTTCTGTGGCCCGACGTACTGCTCCCAAATTTTTTTCTTCTGCCGGTAAAAATCAATCCATAGCTCAGCGTAACAGGTAGAACGTGTTTTTTTTCCGACCATTACACTGTAGGCTCTGTCCATCACCGACCCGATTATTTTGAAGGTCTACTATAGGTTCATCAACGGTCATTATGGACAACGTCCAACCACAGTATAACTTATCCCTCCAACACATGGTACGAAATTCCTCTCCAATTTTTTTCGGCCAGCTTCAATTCATGCTTTCAATTCTCTGTAAATTTCATTTTTTATTTCTATTCAACTTTGCCTGGGTAAAAAATGACATTGTCATTCTTTATGTAGCTTCATATGAGCGTGAACAACTTTCCTTTCATACGTTTGAGTAGTACGAAATTGATTTTCTCCTCCTTCTCCTACAGCAGTATGCAAGTGGTAAGCACGATGTCTTCAACGGTGCACCATCGAACCCCTAAAAACCCAAAGCCATTGCGCGAAAGTCTACAAAATGGAACCCCCAGAGCGTCAATTCTTTATCGCCACCTGCGAAATTGTGATTGTTGAAGGGCATCGACAGGGAAAATGCTTTTCGACAATAGGATGGCAATGCATCGCAGAACTCAACAAATCAGTTGGAAAGAATTGGGCTATATCGCAAATGAAAAATTACTAGGCCAAATTATGGGAGCAACACAAGCACCTCTTCGAGTTGCTGCGGTGCACTGGAATTGAGTACTGTTCGAGAACGGGTACTATCATCGTCCCCGAGCACTGGTGGGAAGTAAAAATTAAGGTAACCAGTTTTTGTACTTCAATCGTGATAGAGCATTCCACTCCATGTGTTACACAAAAACTACATGTTTGTTGATTTTTGAACTCATAGTGGTTAAGTTGAATGCATATCTGTGCCAGGTATATTATTTGTTTTGTACCTCCATGTTAGACAACAAAATGCACGGTTGTTGATTTCAAAATTCAATTGTTAGATAACAATTGCACGTTTGCTAGTTCCAGTTGAAATGGTAGAGGAAAAAATTTTGGATGAACAACCTCCACCTGCTGTTGTGTCATTGCCTACGGGTTGTTTGTGTGGATTATTATATGTTTTGTGCTTACAAGATAGATTTGCGACAGTTTAACCACCGCAAAGTAACTAAACTCAATTCCTTGTGAACATGATTGTGTGGATGAATGAATATACATGAGAATTGCGAAATTTGAATTGAAATATTACGTTTGGTTTACGGTCTTCCATGTCTACTATGAACACGCATATGCATGGAAATTTACATAAATGCATCTTCATATTCTAAACCTGATTTTTGGTTGTTATGATTATCCTCATTATCCCACATTATTGCTTTTATCGCTGATTCAAACTGTACGTAAATCTTACTCTACTCGATCTTAATTTGTCATTATTGTTGTGCGTTTAGGAGAACCCAAAATATGCGAAGTACAGGACCTTCGACTGTAGTGAGATATATGACATGTAACTCAAATTGTTCGACGACTCGACAAAGTATGCATTGTCTCCAACAAAGTTATCGCAGCATGGCTTCAACTTGAATACAGACTTTGAAAAAGAGGACGGAGGTGACAAGTTGCCCATAAACGTAGAGGAAACTAATTTTAGTGGCAATCTAGATGAAGACAGACCGCACTCCTCCATGGATGTATCTTGCAAAAGCAGTAGGGACAAAAGGAGAGGCAAGCAATTGAAGAAAAAGGGTAGACAAAATGCTACAGTGCCCGAGATGTTTCTGCCTTGTTGGAGCAGATGGTTAGTGTTGGTACGGATCTCGCCTCAATTGTCCGATCGTACCAAAAAAGTGTAATGTTGGTCAGGGAATGTGTTGATGAACTCCTGTCGTGTGGGCATGTGAACGAGGGTGATGTGCTCCACTTGTTCGCGTTGTGGTTCTTATGGGACAAGGACAATCGCAATTCTGGCAAAAATACCTTTTCTACGATTTAATTTGTCGAGTACTATTTTGAGCGAGACAATATGTCACGCTCACGGAATGGGTGAGCAGCACATTCACGAGAACTAGCCGAGTTTTCATTTTTTCATTTTTTTCCTTTTGTGGTTGTTTGTATGCTCGACTTGCATTGTAATATTTCTTGTAGTGAATTTTGTGTAAAATATGTGTTGTTTCCTCATGGCCCATGGTTGTCATGTGTACTTGGACTAATGTGCTCTTACTGTTCCACAAGATTGATGTGTTCAAGGATTGGCCTAGGTGCTTTTCCAGAAAATATTTTCCCTGCAAAAGCACTGGAAAGGTTTTACAACAAGCCTACTATTTCTTGAAGTTCATGCATTTAGTTTGAAAGGCCCATAATTGGTACCAAACTTTACTAGTCTATAAATGCAGAAACAAACCACACGGCTATCTACCAAAATATTTAGAACATCTGTGTATAAGGGTTATTTGAAATACTCTTGCATACTACAAATTTGTTTCTAAGGCCTGCAAATTTTTTTGAAATTTCGGTATCGTTGTTTTCAACATAAAATGCAAACGTAATTTCACAGATGTTGGGCGAGTCGGATGTGTACTCATCTTCAAAAACTGATTGCAACATTAAGTCAATGTCGGACAACGATACACCATCTGATGATGACGCGATGCAGCAAATGGAGGAGGACAGTGTTACGTGGTTGGAATATTGTCGAGTTACCGAGCGTATTGTTGGCGACTACCCTAGACCGAATGGAGCTCGACGGTATTTGTTCCCAACGAAGCGGTGTGGTCACATTTTTATGCTACAAAATATTCATGTGTACCCACAAACTTGCTTTCAGGAGTTTAGGATGTATTTGCCCATGTTTATACACTTCACGCACATTCTCTACGAAGAGTACGACCTTTCCAGCAGTGCAAACATCGACATATATGAACAAGTTGAAATGTTCTTATGCATACTGGCACACACGCAAAGGATATCGATAAGTTCAAACTCTTTTTGATTACTCGCTGCAAACTATTTGTTATTATTTCAAGGTTGTCCTACGAACATGTCTACAATTCGCAGCGAACATGACAAAATCATATCCGCTGTACAACGAAGGCGTAGGTCACCACTACCCAAATCCTAAACGGTATCCCATATTTCAAGTTCGAATGTTCACATGGAGATTTAACCTGTAGTTTAGCAGAAGTAAATGAATAATATGTTTTTCTTTGAGAATGTGCTGACGTGGTATTTATGTTACATGATTGCATTCGTGCAATTGATGGCATCCATGTCAAAGCAATGCTGCCACATCATAGAAGGGATAACTTCAATATAAGAAAGGGTATTCTGACGCAAAATGTTCTGGTCACCTGTGATTTCAATCTTTGTTTCACGTTTGTACTCTCTGAAATGATGGGAAATACACATGATGGTCAAATATAGGCCCGCAAGGTACATGGTCCTGAAATCAATTTCCTGCAACCCTCAAATGGAAAATACAACCTCGTTGACTCAGGGTTTGCACACAGGTCGAGGTACATGGCTTCGTACAAAGGATCTAATATTAGATATCATTTTTAAGAATTCGATCGTATGACGGCTAGATACCGACGTCGATTTCGAAATGTAAACGAACGGTTCAATTTTCATCATTCCTCATGCCAGAACATAATCGAGTGTGTGTTCGGTGTTTGAAAATAGAGATTACAATATGAGAGCACAAACTGTTGTGGTCGTGGCCACGATGAGAATGCATAACTTCGTATGTAGAAATGGCCGGCTAGATGAGAGTTTTCTTAGAGCCAAGAAAGTGGATGATGACGAAGTGGAGATAGACCTTCTAGACGAGCAAGACGATTTATTCACTGAGCTCGATGAAGTAGCTGAAGATGACATGTCGTGGTAACGACTACTCAATTATATGGCATAGACGTTATATTAGTCATTGTCTAACGCAAATAAAGGGTCTATGAATTCCGGTGACTTTTTTGCCCTAGTAATGTTTACTGTGTTTAAGAAGAAACAAGATTATCGTCGTCATCGTATTATTTTATTGTTGACTAGTCAAAGGAAAATAAATGTGGTTGACAAATAAATGTCGTTGACTAGTCAAAGGAAAATAAATGTGGTTGACAAATAAATGTCGTTGACTAGTCAAAGGAAAATAAATGTGGTTGACAAATAAATGTCGTTGACTAGTCAAAGGAAAATAAATGTGGTTGACAAACACTATAGGAAAATGCGGTTTCAGAGACGAAATAATTTGTTGCTGAAGCCCCGAAATCCATCGGCAATCACCTTTAGAGACGAAATCAAACAGTCGGTAAAATCCGTTGGCAAATAGCCCACCGGTAAAAATAGAGACGGATTATATATAATCGTTGGTGATAGTGACGAAAAAATCTATCGATGTTCACCAATGGAATATGGCCGTAACTAATTGGTGACGAAAAATGTCGTCACTAATTCATTTGTGATTAACGACGATTTATATAATTGTCTCTAAAATAGTTACAAATAGTCTATTGCTGTTTTCGTCACCTAAATAGCTACAAACCTTCCATTTGTGGTTGTCCTCGCTAATTACCAACATATTTTTCGACAAAACTAATTGTTCCAAAATATCTACAAACCTACCGTTGTTGTTTCTGCCGCAAATTACCAACATATTTTCGACAGAACTAATTGTTCCTAAATGGCTACAAACCTGTCGTCGTTGTTTTCGTTCGAAAATTTGGATTACAATTTAAAATAATTCCATTAATTATTATATTAATATATTTCTACTGTGAATTTAAACTATATAAAATTCAAAAATATATAACATAAAATCATAAATAAACAAAAAAAGAAATACAAATATTTTCATTCCATTAGTTCAAGGTCCAAAGTTACAAAAATTAGATCGATTTTGCTTCCATTTCAAAAGTCAATGCTAAAATCATACACTTGATCAGTTAGCAAAAGAAAGTTCTACACATTCAATGGTAAATTTTCATAAACAAAATAAGCATTTTCTATGCCCAACCATTGAAGATCATTGTGCTCAAATGATTAATATTGTGATCCATTCCTTTCTCCCAACATTCGAAGTATCCTTTGTTCGAACTCAATGCGCTTCTTCTCTTCTTCTCGCGTACCATCTTCCATTTTTTGAAGCAATCCCTCATTTTCCCTTGTAAGCTGATCTATCTTCTCACAAGCAGAATGAAATTCATCTTGTAAAGTGATGAAATCAGCATGTCCATCATATGGAACATTGGTGAACCAGATGAGGTGACATCCTTATGCAAAGATTTTCGTTGAATACCAAGCCCATATAAGCGACCACCTTTACAAGGAACTTGAGTTGCTTCACACCATGCTTCAATGCCAATTTCAGGTTGTGACACATTTGAACCATATTTTTCCTGAATTGCATTGTCATATTTTTCCTGTAACACAAGAAGCAGCTTAACTTTATGAAAGGAAAAAAGGCATGAATTATCATTTATTAAAAGTGAAACTAGTAACATTGCTCAGCCTATTCTCAGTACCACAGTAGCTAATGCCATTGTCTTTGCAATTCACAGGATGCAGACAAGTCAAAAACATAAAATTGAAGGGTTATTCAAGCCGTAACTATCAAAACATGTTTTCTGCATCACCAATCATTTCTACATACATGCTGATTTATATCAAATTTCAATGCCAAAGAATGAAAAAGGATTAAACAGCGCTATCAACCAATTTTCGTTAGACCTGAAATCGTAATAGATAGTCATTCAGTGTTGCCATAATATATAACTTATGTTAGTTGGCAGATACAACATAAAGTTCTTTATTACACATACATTAGACCCTAAGAAAATTAGAACTGATGAAATCTAAATAGTCCCTAAAATCAAGAATTATTCTCATGCCAGTGTTGAGCTTATCAATGGAAAAAATCTTGAAATTTATTTTGTTATTTTGGCAACTGGATATTGCAGCAATGTCTGCTTATGGTTAAAGGAAAATGAGTTCTTTTCAATGTGCATGGAATCCCAAAATCATCCTTCCCAAATGGATGGAAAAAGTTGATCTGGGTTGTATGCAATTGGAAAAACAAGGAGAGGACTCACTTTTATGTTTCTTAACACTATTTGAATATTTGGATTGTAGTATTTCTTCAACATTTGACAAAAAAAGTGTTCGGTTAAAAAAAGAAAGGTTGCGTTCTTTATTAAAATCTAATAAAAAAACGGAAGAAGAAGAACAAGAAGAAGGTAATCATTCAACCACTGTTTATTGTCTACGAATAGCTAGCTGATAACATAAAATGTAGAGCATAGAGTCTAAGCAAAATTGAATTTATTTTTGCTTACCCACACAATTCGTGACTTGTTGTCTACAAAGTCTCATTCTCCTTTGTTTCAACGGTGTACACGTTCGAATAACTGTGAAGCAGTAGGCGGTTTACTTAATTTCTCATGCTGAAAGCAATCAATAAATGAAGATCAAATTTTTAAAGATTCTTGATTGGGAATAAATCAAACAACATGTCATGCATAATGTGTATAAACTCCTTGTATTGAAGTCATGATTTCTCTATCATTAGTTAGATAAAAAAAATGTTGACATTTGATTTATGTATATGAAGTAGTGATGCAGACAAAAAGAATTAGTTAAAATCTATCAGTGCAAGGAAAATGTGTAGAGGCCAAAAATTGATATTTTGGAGCATCTAAAACCTTCTGCAAAGTAAATGAAGACTTCCAGTAACGTGCTGAATGTGAAGACAGTCATGCTGGTTTTTTTTTTTTTTTACTTAATTTCTGACATAGCATGCTAAATACAAAGACAAAACATGATGACTTTTCCCAGATTGATTTCAGCCAGAACAAGCTGAAAATGAAGACAAAACTTGCTGATTTTTCCAAAATGAAATTTAAACAGTATACTGATTTTCCCACATCTAACACAAAATGGATATAAAAAGCTCTTCGAACGAATGAAATTTTGGTATAAAAGGAGTATAATATATATAATAAGATGCTCATATATAACATGTCAATCATATATGAAATTTCATCATGCAAGTCAAACATTACTAGCCTCAGCCTGTGGGCAGCAATTGTTATTGAACCTGCAGTTTGTTATTAAATCAGCAGTGTGCTTAGTGATGGTTCTTGACTTTATAGTCAGTCGGTTATCACAGCCAAGTTTACACTTCTTCTTCCATCCGTCATTGTTCCACTTTTTATCAATTATGTCATTTCAGTGCTCTACACTTAACCATGGTGGTCCATATCCCTTCCAATCAATTACATTTTCAGACCTACTATTTTCTTTAGCCTTTTTTCTAACCAAACAAAATATATCTCGCAGCCGATCAGTTGAGGCAGTATTCCATGCTTGCTTCACCTCATTATCTTTATTCTTTGGCCATGAATATTATTGCTAATGTAGGTACCAACCATTAGTACAAAATCATTTGTAAACAATAAACATTTCTAAGGATTTAGAAGAAGCTTTTATTACCTGAAACCTTTACCACAAAGACTTTTTTGTGTCAATCAGTACCAAACTAAACGTAGAATAAGGCACTCCCAAGTAGGCCTTTAAATTAGCACTTACAGCCCGAGATGCCGAGATTGTAATGAATTTGCAAGCATACAAGGTCGACATGACCATAACTTAAAAAGAATTAATCTGAAAGGGTGAAATTACATATTTAACTTAAAGAAGAGAACATGACTCCAAAGATGAGTGAGCTATTGTGCCAACTTGAACCAAGTTCTTTTAAATCCATGTTTGTGTCTTTGTTATGTTAGACCATCAGTGCCCAAGTATTTTGTTCCATCAGATTGACGGTAAATTTAAAAACAAAGGCTACAAAGTGTATTTTTCTAATATGTGATAACGGGTATAGGTTTTGAGATAGAAGCCAAAGGAAGGTGAAATTTATCTTAAGCACAGATGTTATATTTAATAAGTCCGAAATGTCATTTTTGACTTTTGCACTACATAGTTGAAAGAAAACCCGCAAGGAGAAAAGGACACTAAGTTATAGGTAGAGTGTAGAAGTATAAGTGCACATATTCCTAACATTTCTAGTAAGGTGGACCAGTATAACAAGATATACATAATGAGATTAAATTGTTGTAGAAGACCACCCAATACAAGTAATTTCTTTAGACGATTATCAGTTAACAAGAGTCGAGAAATGAGACAGCATAGGAAACCACATATGTTTTGTTATGAATCAGATATATTGTTGCTTTTGTCTTGTCTATTATCAAGAATTAGTTGGTAAACAGCCTAAGAATCAAGCAATGAATATTCAACATTCAATAGAGCGATTGAGTTTATATAAGACGAAATGAACTCTTTAGTTAAAAATCAAACTTTGGAATTACTACCAAATGCTAAAAACCAATCAATATATAGTGTATTGTAAAGAACAGAACCATGAACATAATACATAGCTAAACAAATTCCCAAAATAGGAACATAATAAAGACCAGAACCATGAAAATTTCTTCCAAGTTTGTGCAGTAGAGGCTCGACAATAGGAATAGGAGGCAAATTCCAAGAAACGAAAGACTTTCTTGATGTGTCTTTTGGAGTATGAAGGTGATGGAATGACAGAGCAGAATGTCAACATTGTTATCATGGTATTTAATTTTTTCCTACTTTTCTTTATACTGTGTTTTTCATGGTGACAGCAAATTCAAATTCACCGATACATATAAATTTGGGGAGAACTATGTGAGGACAGTGTTGAAAAGAGAGAAAATGAAATTCGAGTTGGACTCTAAACAGGTTAGACATAAATGCGTAACGAACATACATGATTTCTAGACTCTAAAGAACAATACCATTTTGCATTCAAACTAAAATCCCAAAAAGAAAAGTTCAGTTAAATACCTATTGCCTCCCACAGTTAAATGAATTTTTCCATATTCATCTACACAAACATTAGTACCGTGGTTAGGCCCCATT